ATTCCTGCACGATTATTAAAAGAAACAGCTCGCCAAATTGCTCCATCACTAACCGCCTTGTTTAATAAATCTCTGAACACTGGTGTGTTACCACGCGACTGGAAACTAGCAAATGTTGTTCCCGTTCACAAAAAAGACAACAAAGAGCACGTAGAAAACTATCGACCAATTTCGCTTCTTTCGCTTATTTCGAAAGCATTGGAAAGATGCGTGTTCAATAAGATCAAAGACCACGTTTTCGAACAGATTAACAATGGTCAACATGGCTTTGTTCCTCGGAAGTCCTGTGTTACACAGCTCATTGAAGTTTTTGAGTATATTGGTCGTGAGCTGGATCTTGGGAAACAAGTTGATGTGATCTACTTGGATATGTCCAAGGCGTTTGATCGAGTAAGTCACATGCAACTGTTGAAACGACTTCGTAATTTTGGATTCGGTGGCAATATTCTTAACTGGTTTAGATCTTACCTCAAGGACCGTCGGCAGCAGACTACACTACTTGGTGCAACATCATCAGCACTACCAGTAACCTCCGGAGTTCCACAAGGCTCAATCCTTGGACCGCTGCTGTTCCTATTATATCAGAATAATCTCCCCAACTCCATCAACCACTCGAAGATCGCGACGTTTGCTGACGACACAAAGATTTACAAGGTGATAAACGCGAAGGCTGATGCATCCGCTATGGAGAATGATCTTGCTAATTTCCAAACCTCCTCTGCCAATGCTAATCTTCTCCTCAACACAGATAAATGTAAGACACTTCGAATTACTAGAAAACGCAACAAAATCGACCATACTTACAAGTTGCAAGATTCCGCTCTGAAAACCACAGATTGCGAACGTGACCTTGGCGTCTGGACCTCCTCCACCCTCACATGGTCGAAACAAGTCCTCCACCAGTGCGCCCAAGCCAACAAATCCCTCGGGTATATTCGACGGTCCACGATCAAAATCAAGACCATCTCTGTTCGTCGGACTCTATATCTTACCCTCGTTCGTTCCCACCTCGCATACGCGTCCCAAGTTTGGGCTACACAAACTGTTGACCTCATTAAGCGTACAGAACGCGTTCAACGACGTGCGTCGAAGTACATATTGAACCTACCGTTCTTCTGTGACATCAACTATAACCATCGTCTCTCAACATTAAATATACTACCTCTGTGTTACTGGCACGAGTACCTAGACATATTGTTCCTTTTCAAATCACACCATGACATTATTAACCTAAGCAGCGACATACTACCTCACCCTCAAAATTCAAGTCAACGTACCCGATCTACAAACCCTAACTGTCTACAATTTCAGACTTCAGCATGCAAAACATCTACCTATCAAAAATCATATCTAATAAGGACTACTAGAGTCTGGAACACACTGCCAATGGATTTAACTATTAATAGCATGGCAACTTTAAAGGACTTTAAAAATAAGTTATTAATCTATTATAAAACAGCACTTTATAAATGTTATGACGTTGACGATCCACGAACATGGAAATCGGTTTGCTTAAAATGCAACCAAGCTCGCGACCTGACAAGGCCGATAACGTGTTGTTTTTAGATTTAGTTTTCAGAAGTACCTTTTCACATTGGTATCTATGGGGCCTATTCAGGTTTTGCTGAAGGTTTAGGATTGTGAGGGTTTCAAACGTCTTCTGACTCAGTCAGCTTCCAAAAATGGAAGTGGTTCTGCGGGTCGCAATGTGAAAAGAGTTGCATCTGATAGTTCGTTAGTAATTGATTCTTTCTATGTACGTATATAGTGTATTTGTCTAACATTTAGGGATCGCAGTAATTGGCGCAAGCTGTTGCGATTGCCCTGCCAGTTTTTTTGTGTTAACGTTGTTTAAATTTGGCAAAGTTAATAAATTAAACTTGAGCTACTCGAGCTATTCTCAACCGCAACGATATTTCAATTATATTTTATATTGTTCAAATACGATAGTAAATTACTTGCCATGATTGATGACCCTTTTATAATATATAAGTATGATATATTGATGACCCTAAATTATATGACTCGACTAATAGCGTGTACCATTTAGTATAATAAAACATTAAAAAATAGGTACGCTAGGCGTACATGTATCTGCGCAAAGGAATTCCATAGTTGCTATGAAAAAAAATTCATTCACAATTATTATAGTAAACATTTATATTTCGAAGTAACTATACAGCCGGCTATTTAGTAAACTGCTGGCAATGTAGTGACTAAGAAAAAAAAGCTAAGTCAGACAAAACACAACCCGACGGGCGTTTCACTTTCCGCACGCAGCGCCTATACCGTATACTCTAACGGCAAGCTCGTTAAAAGCTAGCGCAAACAAAAGTTTTTTATATTTAACTATAGTCAGTATATAGCCGGCAGTTTACTAAATACCTGGTTGCCGGCAGTATAGTCACTTTATCGCTTCCCTTAAATTTAATCCATGCTAATCTACTCTGTCAGTTTCTTGTCATGATGAGCTCTGTTTTCTGTGCGTAGGCTTTTGCGCAATAAACCAATCGTACACCAATTGGAATAATTATGGCAATGTGCGTTATAAGCACATGCCGGTTTATTAATTTTTTGTAATGAATAACATAATTATTAATATAACAAATTATTAAGGAAACTAATGTTCGTAAAAGTAATTATTAAGAAAATTGTTCGCACAGAAAAGGTTCGTAAAATTGTTGCGTGTAGGTTGGCTCTTAGATTGAAAACGCGATTTATTAAAATTCTGCGCACGGATCCAAAGTTCCCAATGAGTTGAACCCCAAGGCATTTCAGACGGTTTGTCGTAAATTACCACAGTATGGTATCCGTATATAGGATATATTGTGTACAATTTCAAGGTTACCACAGGGAGCCCAAGCGTTGATCTGTATTAGTGTTGTATGTTTTTCAGTTTATTTATTTTATATAATTAGTGTCTTTGCCTTTTAATTGAATTATAACACTGAATTACACTAATAAGTCATATAATAATAATACTCCTATAGTCGAACTTATAATAATAACAACATATAAGTTGATTTGTATTTGTATGTTTTTCAGTTTATTTATTTAAGATCTAATGTAGAAACGGTTTTGACATTTTCATAGCTTTATAATTTATGTTAATTAGTTTATTAATTATATAATTCAATTCACTTTCAAACAGGATTTTTCAAGAGGTTTACTTTATTTTTAACAACGTTTCGGAGAGTTTTACTGTCCGTCATCAGGTTATTACAACTTTGTAAATGTTGACGTGTACAAACTAATTTAACGTTCGTTCTACGCAAGCTTAATTTCAAACTAAAATGCACGCGCACGCGCGTGTCTGTTCTCATTATCGAAATATCTGTCTAAAATAGGCCTCCATACTGTCAATGACTCAAAACTGTTTAATACTTTCATACCACGATGTATTTCCCTGAGAGACTCTATTCCTTTCTTTCACCTTTCTTTGTCTCAAACCACTTTCTTTTGCCACAACACTTGTATTTTCCCAATCAACTCCACTTAAACAATTCACATTGTGTCACGCTAATCCCCCGTCTTCCTTTCCCATTCGTTCATTCGCCATTGTCAGGTTCCCGTTTTTCATATCTTCATTCGTCAGTCTCACTTTGCTTTCATGTTCCTTTTTTCTTGTCTTCAGTAATCTCCACGTTTCTCCAACATACGCTGCCTTGTACACAACTAATCTTGTACACAACATCTTTCTGCTTCTCACGAAGTGGTTGTTGGGATCTGGTCTTTAGATCTTTGACTTTCTTTCCTGATTTGAATGCCGTTTGAAAAGAATGTTTCAAAGCTACTCTCTTAAACTGTTCTGATATTCCGCGAACATACGGTACTATCACCTTTCCTCGATATTGTTGTTCTTCCATTTCTCTTTCACCCCGTACATTCTTAAAACATCATCTTCCTGATCTTCCTTGGTGAACACAATAACCCCCGGTTTGATATTGTTGAGGTGTTCACGTATTTCCTCGGATTGTCCTTTCTTGCATTTCAGTTCACTGTCATCTACGTACCAATACCATTGGTCCAGTGGGTATGGGGATGTTTCCATTGCCCGTAGTTGAAACTCTTCCATGTATATCATGGCAATTTCTCCTGTTGATCCTAAGCCAATTGGACCACTTCCTAAGACATAATGTTTTCCATCAAATTCACAATAGGCCAAACCAAACAACCACTTTAACAGTTCCGTTATTGATCGCACACTTAGGTCAGTTATGTTTTTCAATGTTCTGCAATCATTTAACAATTTCTCTACTAATCTTAAAGCTTCGTCTATTGGAATGGATGGGTACAGATTCTTTATATCATAATTAACAAGCACTTCATTTCTTTCCACACGCCAGTTCTTTATTTTTTCTTTCAATTCCCGGGAATTCTTTATATAAAGACCACTCCTCCCTTGAATCGTCCTTAATATTGGAATTAGATATCTTGATAACTTCTCGAAAGGTGATCCTACTGTCGATACTATTCCTCTCATTGGAACATCTTCTTTCTGAATTTTAGGTAATCCCAATAATCTCGGAGTATGACAGTCTTTCGGTTTTAAGCGATCACCTTCTTCCTTTGTTATTTCATTTCTTTTCACAATATTGTCTATAACGGTTGCTCCGTCCCTACTAACTTTCTCCGTTAAATCCCAGTCCTTTTTTTATCTTATTGAGGGCTTCGCTTTGAGGTCAATCAGTACTTTTTTCATTTTATATTCATAACTGCCCTCGCCATTAATACTTTCCCATCGATCCATAGCAATCATTATTCGTTCTTTATCTGCTGGCAGAAATACTTTGTTCTTATCTTGTAGAGCTTTTTTCTTTCCATCTCTTTCTTGATTAACATTGTTGACTTTAAACTTGATCTAAGCAATGTGAATTCACATTGCGAAAACATTGCACATCTTGATGAATTAGTGCATTGCTATGATGACGTACTTTCACGTATTTTAAATACCCATGCTCCTGTCCGAAGAAAGCTAATGAAAGTTAAGCGTTCAACTCCTTGGTACAATGAAGAACTAAGACAATTGAAAGTAAAGCGTAGGAGACTAGAGAGAAAGATGCGGAAAACAAAATTAGAAGTAGATTGGACTGCCTATCGGAAAATATGTAACCGATATTGTTACTTGTTGAATAAAGCCCGAACCGATTATTATACTTCCCTTATCAGTGATAGCTCCAACGATCCAAAGAATCTTTACAGAATTGTGAGCTCCCTTTGTAATACACCGCATGAAGATCCCTTACCACCTCATGACGATCTTGGTCAATTAGCAAATAGGTTCAACGAATATTTTTTCCGCAAAATTGAATTGATTAGGGAAAATGTGGACAGTATCCATGTCGATCCTCCGTTAGTGCATTACCGTAACCCTGAAGTCAAATTAAAATCTTTTGAGATACTTTCTTCCCAGGATATTCATGATGTTATTATGCAATTGTCCAGTGCCAGCTGCAAGCTTGATCCGATCCCATCATGTCTTGTTAAAATCTGTTGTCTGGAACTAATTCCCTCTATCACCAAAATTGTAAATTTATCCTTGCAGGAGGGTCGTGTCCCAGATCACTGGAAAATTGCTCTGCTGAAACCAAACCTGAAAAAGTCTAGCTTGGACCCAGTATTTGAGAACTTTAGGCCTGTGAGCAATCTGTCATTTCTTTCTAAGATCACTGAAAAGGCAGCCGCCAACCAATTGCTGAACCATTGTGAAAAACATGCACCTCTCCCTATCTGTCAATCTGGCTTCAGGAAATATCATTCGACAGAGACGGCTCTGCTAAAGGTGCAAAGCGATATTCTTTTGAGTATGGACAGGCAGGAAGTGTGTTTTCTTGTGCTCTTGGACTTAAGTTCAGCGTTCGATACAATTGATCATAAAACTATCATTGACGTATTGGAGTATCAATTTGGAGTGACGGATAGGGCTCTTGAATGGATTAAATCATATCTATTGAACAGGAAACAGAGAGTTGATCTGGATAACAATTTTTCTGAAGACTACGATGTTAAGTACGGAGTGCCTCAAGGGAGTTGTCTTGGCCCCATACTTTTTCTGCTTTATGTATCCCAACTATATGACATTATTGACAGGCACTTACCCTCTTCTCATGGATATGCTGATGACACGCAACTCTATGTATCCTTTCGCCCAGATTGTGAAGATAATTCAGAAAGTACCCTAGCCGCACTGGAAGATTGTATTTCTGATGTGCGTACTTGGCTGTTGTCTCATAAATTAATGTTCAAAGATTCGAAAACGGAATTTCTTGTAATTGGTACACCACAACAACTTTTGAAAATAAACATTGAATCCGTTAACGTTGGTGGGGTCCAAATTAAGCCGGTTGATAGTGTTCGAAACTTGGGATCTTGGTTTGACAAGCATATGTCAATGTCAGTTCATGTAGGCAAGATGTGCAGTAAAGCATTCAGAGGACTTTATAAAATACGACAAATTAGAAAATTTTTATCTACTAATACAACGAAAACTTTGATACATGCTTTCGTGACATCACACGTGGACTATTGTAATGCTCTGTTGGCTGGCATACCTCAGTATCAAGTCCAGCGAATTCAGCGAGTTCTTAATGCCGCTGCTAGATTAATCTACCACTGTCCAAGATTTTCCCACATCACCCCAGTTTTGAGATCACTTCACTGGCTACCGGTAAAATTCCGGGTGGAATTCAAAATTGCTTTACTGGTTTACAAGGCTCTTAATAACATTGCCCCTATCTACATCTCTGAAATGCTTATCCCAAAACAATCAAGTGATCGCTGGACATTACGATCGGATGGTCAAGGTCTATTATACATCCCGAAAACAAACTGTAAGACTCTAGGAGATCGGGCTTTCGCACATGCTGCTCCACAATTATGGAATTCTCTGCCTCTGGATGTCAGGAACTGTGAAAACATTTCTGTGTTTAAGAAACGCTTGAAAACATTTCTTTTTAATAAGGCTTATAACCCTTTATAGGTTGAGACCATATTGGATTCTATCACTCTTATTATAGATACATACATTAGTGTATATTCTAATTGTATACAATACCATGTTTTATATAGCATATTTAACTCTTAATATATTTAGATTTTTATAATGTACAGCGCTTCGAGTATATAATATAACATATGCGCTTTATTTAAATGAATAAATTATTATTATTATTATTGTTGTGTTAAATTCGATTGATATCTTTTACATCTCACTTTTTCTAAATGGATTTCACGTTTATTTTTCCGAAACGTTGTTAAAAATAAAGAAAACCTCTTGAAAAATCCTGTTTGAAAGTGAATTGAATTATATAATTAATGATGACCAGAGGTGAAAGTTTTAGAAGAATAATTAATTTATTGTTTATTTTATGTTTAAGACTTCATGTAAGTTTGTATATAGTAACGTATTAGACAAAACATTCAGTCGAGCGTGTCAGCGTGGTTTTGGGGTTTATTTCGTCGGGAAAACTGGCAGTCTATAGATTAGAGATATTCGAAATAACTAAAACTGTGTTTACATTTGGTCCTTCGAGCCGGATCTAAGTTAATTTAGAGTGTTTTTGGACGAATTTAGAGCGAAAATTCGTAGTTTCATTTTCGCTTCGTACACCGGAAGTGTACAAAATCGGGATGTAATATCGTGTTATGACTAAGAGAAAATTTAGTTTAAAGTTTTATCGACGCCTTTTACGAACGATGGCTGAGGAAATTGAAGTACAGAACCAAGAAGAAACAGCAGGAATCGACGAGGAACAAGCTACAAAGACAACGAGAAACAACTTGAGGAACATATCATGAATTTGAAAGGGAAAAACGTAGCTAGTGCAAAATGACGTATGACACGGTTACTAAATAACATGGCGGACATGATATCGGACTCGAATACTGAACAAAAAGACGTTAAAGAATTGTTATTAAGAATTGACGAACAGAAAGACGAAACATTGCATGTTATGAATCAACTCGAGGATATTTATCAGCGAAGCAAAGAATATGAAAATGCTAAAAAAGTAAATGATGAAGCGGATGCACTGGTCGATCAAGTGGAATATGAAACAAGTTCAGCGCGTATGTTTTTAACATCGTTGGCAAAGAAACAGTGGAGTTCAAGCGCAGTGACGGTAACAAGCAGCAAAGAGTCGAACGTGGGCGAGACTTCAAAACAGAGGCAAGATGAAGATGAAAGGAGAAAAAATGCGGAACTTTGGGCACGTATGCGAAACGAGGCAGAAGTTCAAAAGAAAAGAGAATTGTTAGAAGAACAAGAAAAGCAACTACGAACAGCCGAAGAGCAAGCAGAGAAAAAACGTCAAGAGTTAGTTGTATTAGAGAAGGGGAATAATGAAGACAATGAGAATCAACAAAATAGCGAACAGTCAAACACAGTAGAAAGAATCGAGGTCAATGAAACCCCAATGAGAACAGCTCAGATATCACTTCCAGCAAACAGTAACACACCTACCAGAGGGGCGGGGGCGACTACGTCCCAAGCACAATTGGAGAGAATTCGGATTCCAGTATTTTCAGGTAACAAAATGGATTTTCAAAAATGGCATGCAGCATTTATAAGCTGTGTTGATTTAACATCCCTTTCACCACAATTCAAAATGCTACGTTGGGATGCTTGTCTTACTGGTGAAGTAGCAGAGACTATAAAAGAATTGGGATATTCAACAGGGGCGTATGAAGCAGCAAAAGCACGCCTGGTTCGCAAATACAGTGGCAGTCCGAGACAAGTACAATCGCATTTGGATGAGTTAAAGAAATTAAAACCCCTCGAAGAGAACAATCCAAAAGAATTGGAAAAATTTGCAGATATTTTGGAACGAGCTGTAATTACTCTGAAAGAAAATGGTCGCGAGTCAGATTTGGAGAGTGGAACATTGCGTACAATAATATTGGGAAAATTCCGGAGCGTTTACTTGCACAGTATTACCGTTGGGTAAAAGAAAACCACTACAAAGATTCTTTGGAAAAATTGAAAGATTGGGTAGCTGAAGAAGCGGAATATCAAATGCAAGCGTCTGAAATCAAAAATGGAATGAATTCGGATGGTGAAAGAAGAAAGGAGAGAAGATATAGGTTATTCTTCAATAAAGAAAGCGGTAAGAAAGAGTACGATCCATGTTCTGCTTGTGCAGGAAGTCATCCAATTTGGAAATGTTACTCTTTCCGAAGTCAAGCTATTAATGAGAAATGGAAAATTGCGAGAAGAGTTGGGCTGTGTTACAGATGCCTCGGGAAACTTCATTTGGGGAGTTCGTGTACAAGAAGTCGACAGTGTCATATTAATGGTTGCAAGGAAACCCACCATCGTTTACTCCATGTGCAAAGAAGAGTTAATACCATAGGTCCTAATCAAGATATCAATGTTACGGAAAAACCTCCCATGAAACAAATGGATCCAAAAAAGAAATATCTTCAAGAACAGGCTCTTGGCACGGAGGGGGATGGCAATACACAAGCTACTACAATGAAAACCAGCACAGATCATGATACCAGGAAAATAGCACTGCGCACGATCCCAGTTATTTTAAAAAATGGAACGCGTAAAGTTCATGTAAACTGTCTGTTGGATGAAGGAAGTGACACTACTTACATCAACGAGGATGTTATAGAAGAACTAGGTTTAACCGGAGTGAAAGAAAAAATCGATGTCAAGGTAGCAAATGACCAGACAATTAGTTTTATGTCGAACACGTTTACGATTGGGCTGGAAAGCATGGACGGAAGAGTAGATACAGAAATTGTGGCAAAAACCTCGGGAAAGATCTGTGGGGGAATGAAAGCTGTTAACTGGTTAACCATAAAACAAAATTGGAATCACTTAAAAAAGATCCCATTCCCAAAGTTAACGAAAGTAAATCAGATCGCTGTCCTTTTGGGAGGAGACCACTATGAATTAATGTATTCAATGAAAGAGATTGTTGGCAATAAAGACAATTTAGTTGCTAGACTTTGTCCTTTAGGATGGACGGCGGTAGGTAAAATAGAGCAACGAAGTAATGTTGGGCATCAACACAATGGATTTAGTCATACTTTCCGAATCCACGTAGAAGAAGCAACGACAAATTATGCTCCAAATGAATGCTCAGACCTGAATTCCACCCTCAATCGTTTTTGGGACCTAGAAAGCGTCGGAATAACTCAGATAACAGAGAATCACTGATGACGCCTGAAGAGAAGTTAGCATGGGGAAAGGTGAGCCAGTCAATGAAATTTGATGGTAAACACTACGAGGTTGCGGTGCCTTGGAAGGAAGACCGTCCTAACCTTCCTACCAATCTACCAATGGCCAAGCAGAGATTGTTGTCCACGGAGAAAAAGCTGTTGAAAAATAAAGAAGTAGCTCTGGCCTACCAACAAGTATTGAATGGATATCTTGAAAAACAATACATTCGTCGAGTACCGAAAGATGAAGAAAAGCCTCAGCAGGAATGGCTTCTTCCCCATTTTCCCGTAGTACGGCCTGAGAGAGCAAGTACCAAAGTAAGAATAGTTTTCGATGGTTCAGCACCTTATGAAGGCAAGAGTCTCAACACCGAAGCGTTACCTGGTCCTAAGTTACAAAGTAATGTTTTCGATATCTTAGTCAAATTTAGAAAAGAAACTGTGGCACTTTCTGGTGATATAAGTCAGATGTACCATCAACTAGTTTTGCTCGAAGAAGATCGACCATTTCATCGATTTCTATGGAGGGACTTAGATCTATCCAAAGAGCCAGAAGTATATGAATTTCTGAGATTCGTTTTCGGAGGATGTTACTGTCCTTTTTGTGCACAATATACCTGGCAGAAACATGCTCAAAATCACAAAGAAGAGTATCCCTTGGCAGCAAACGCGGTTGAAAAACATTGTTATATGGATGACGTAATGCCTTCTGTAGATTCTGTCGAAACTGCGAAAGAAACACGGCGACAGTTGTCCGAAATGGGAGACAAAGCTGGTTTCCACGTATGTAAATGGGTGTCCAATCGTAAGGAAGTCTTGGAAGTTATTCCAGCCAAAGATTGTTCGTCCAATGTTAGTTTAGAGAAGAATGAACTGCCAACAACGAAAACATTAGGCATTCGATGGGACGCAGGAGACGACGAGTTTCTGTTTGACTACTCCTCCCCAACTGATGATTTCCACTACACAAAACGTAATGTACTGAAGAAAACGGCTTCACTATTTGACCCACTTGGTTTTCTCTCGCCTTTTATTGGAAGCCCTAGATTGGGATGATGAATTACCTGACAAACTTAAAAACGAATCGGAAAACTGGTTTAACGAATTGCACCTTCTTCAAGAGACCAAGATACCACGGTGTTTAAAGAAGAGTAATCTAGTAACCAGCGTTACACTACACAGTTTTTGGAATGCCCCAGAGAAAGCATACGTGGCAGTTGTTTACGCGAGACACGAGTATGAAGATAAATCCGTTACGAAAGAGTTGATAGCCTCGAAGACAAGACTGTCACCACTAAAAGCTATAAGTATACCACGACTAGAACTAATAGGGGCGCTGATTGGAGTTCGCTTAACCAAACGAGTCTCTACAGCTTTAGAAATTCCTGTGAAAGATGCAACCCTTTGGGTGGATAGCATGAACGTGCTCCACTGGATACACGGACGAAGTCGAGATTATAAGCCTTTCGTTGCACATCGAGTTGGAGAGATCCATGACGAATCGTGTCCTGATCAATGGAAGCATGTTCCAACGGAGTTAAATCCTGCAGATTATGGTTCGCGAGGAATGAATGTCAGCGAGATGAAAAACAGTCAGCAGTGGTGGTTTGGCCCGGAATTTCTGAAGAAATCTAAAGATGCATGGCCTGAAGAAAAGATCGAAATAGAACTTAACTCAGTAACGTGTAAAGAGTTGAAAGTCGAAGCACGAAAACAAGAGAGTGCGTCTACAAATGGCCAGTCCTTAAGTTTCAATACAACGACCCAAGAAGCACAACAATTATGGCGTATGGATCCTTTACGATATTCGAAGTGGTACAGAGTAAACAATGAGAACAAGTTGGAATTTGGACTTTCGTTAGTACGAGTACGTTCGTGGGTCCACAGATTCATCAATAACTGCCGTAGATCAAGGGAAGAACGCACTCATGGAGAACTCACAGCTGACGAGGTACGCAGCACAGAAGAAAAAACTATTAAAAAAGCACAGTACGAATGTTATCCTGACGAGATCAAAGCTTTGAAGCAAAACAGAAATCTACCAAAAAAGAGCTCTATCCTTACGTTTACACCGATATTAATGGATGGACTGTTAAGATCCAACACAAGATTACGTTACGCAGAACATTTACCCAATCGAGTGAAGTACCCCGTTATCCTGCCAGAGAAACATCCGGTTACAGAACTGATCGTCAAGTACCATCATGAGAAGGAAGGACATCAAATGGGACTATAATTATACTCAGAATCATCTTCGCGAGAGCTATATAGTTCTGCATGCACGGGAAACGGTTAAAAGAATCATGAAAGAATGCAGTGAGTGCAAGAGAAGATTCCGCGGGAAACCGTTACAACAACAAATGGCCCTTCTACCACGTATTCGATTAGAACTCACAATGAAACCATTTACAAATTGCGCAGTAGACTTTGCTGGTCCTTTCTTTACCATACAAAGTCGTGGAAAGTCCCGAATCAAGAGATACCTTTGCCTGTTCCTATGCCTTCAAACACATTGTGTCCATTTGGAAATGGCATGGTCTTTGGAAACTGATGGATTTCTGAAAGCTTTAACACGTATGGTTGCCAAACGGGGTTGGCCAAGAGGCATGCTCAGTGATAACGGGACAAATTTCGTTGGAGCCAACAATGAATTGCAAGAGTTGGTACAGCATCTAGATCAAGACATAATTCAGCGTATGACATCAAATAACTGGATTCGTTGGCATTGGAATCCACCATTAGCACCTCATTTTGGGGGTGTCTTTGAAAAAATGATTAAATCCGCCAAAAGAGCTATAAACGCGATTCTGGGAAACGCTGACGTGAAAGACGAAGAATTATTGACGGTGCATGTTCACGGGAGTCGAAAGTTTGTTAAATTCAAGACCTTTAACAGCGACGAGCAACGATCCGAACGATGATCCAATACTGACCCCTAACCACTTTTTAATGGGACATATGGGTGGCGAACTGGCGCCAGAAAATGTCGACACGTTAGCTTTTGATCCGCAAAAACGGTGGCGAAGAATCCAAGAATTGGTACGTCAAACATGGAAGAGGTGGATGCGGGAGTATATAACGAGCATTGGATCACGTAAGAAATGGTTTGATCGAGAAGAGAACTTAAAGGAAGGAGACATTGTGTTGGTAGTCGATCGAGACTCTCCGAGAAGAAATTGGAAAGTTGGGAGAATCGTTGGTGTACATCCCAGTGGTGATGGACTAGTGAGAGTTGTGGATGTAAAAGTAGGAGATTGTACGTATCGAAGATCAATATCTCGAATCTCTCGGTTGGAATTTGTAGATTAGTAATATAAACGTTTTAGTAGTTTAACGAACATTCATATTCAAACTTTGGGACAGTTGACTTCAGATTCTAGTAGAATCAGGGAGGGGGAAATGTAGAAACGGTTTTGACATTTTCATAGCTTTATAATTTATGTTAATTAATTTATTGTTTATTTTATGTTTAAGACTTCATGTAAGTTTGTATATAGTAACGTATTAGACAAAACATTCAGTCGAGCGTGTCAGCGTGGTTTTTGGGTTTATTTCGTCGGGAAAAAGCAGTCTATAGATTAGAGATATTCGAAATAAGTAAACCCGTGTTTACATCCATTATTAGCTTATATAAAAGCACCGCCTTTCGAACCTGACAGCCCGTTCGCAGGATACACGCGTTATTTCGCACTGAAATAAGAAATGTGACAAGGGATGAAATTACAACACGACGATGTTTTATTTTGAAGCCGTATGTGCTTGTTAAAACGAATTTTAGCTTGAAATTCGGCCACATGATATGTCTAAGGCTATAGAAAAATTTTGTGAAATAAAAGCCCTAGAGTCTTATAAATTGCTATAGTTTTTAATAGCGACGTTTCGTAGCACTAACGCCCCGACTTGACTGGACATAATGTATTTAATTTTTAATTTTAAAAATTGAAACCGTTACGGTCGACACAAATTGGCTTCTCACCTTGAATTGTATTCGAGTTTGCTTCCTTGTTTATATCATTGATTCCTAAATGTTGACGGCGTTATTCGACACGACACTCATTGCATAATTATCGGTCCACTCAAGTCGGGGCATTCATAATACGACAAACTTTAAAAGTTTCATCCCTTGTCACGTATTTATATTGTTGCCTCCCCCTATTTCAAATCCCGCGCGTATCCTGCGAACGGGCTGTCAGGTTCGAAAGGCGGTGCTTTTATATAAGCTAATAATAGATCTTAAATAAATAAACTGAAAAACATACAAATACAAATCAACTTATATGTTGTTATTATATGTTCGACTATAGGAGTATTATTATTATATTTCATATTAGTGTAATTTAGTGTTATAATTCAATTAAAAGGCAATATAAAGACACTAAAATTAATAAACTGAAAAACATACAACACTAACACAGATCAACGCTTGGGCTCCCTGTGGGTTACTAAAGATTAAAGCCAATAAACTTATCTTCCCTAATGCCCGCAAAAAAGCTCCCCGAAAACTGCGGTAAAGACAATACTGCCCTTTGGAATTACAATGCACGCCGTCTTTGGCTAGCAAAACACGATTTGAGTTTAAAAATTCTCGATGCTCCCAAAGAAAAATACCCGGTTCCTCAGCAAGCACAACAGACAAATATTGCCGCAAACGAGTGGCTTTGGCGTTAAAACCCTGGTCTGGTGCTGGGCAACGGGAATATGGGACAATCCGATTGATGACATGGCAAACGCCGACCACGCGAACATTGAATTTGTCGCGGAAAAGGCGCGCAAGATCATCAACTTTCGAGCCTACAACCTCAGGGGCGCAACTCGATAGGTCGTTCGTACCAACTCCCAGAATTACTATGTCTGGCTTAAAGTGTTGAACGATCGGAAGGTCATGCTGCATAACTTTGTCCCCTGTTGGGCCACCTGTGCCCTGTAAGTAAACGTATCCCGACTCAGGAAGATGAAAATTAGGACTCGCGCGTTGATCAAATCGCGCGTCTAAGTCCTCACGTAACCGACGAACAAAAGAATGGCCGAGAACAAGGATTTTTGCAACAGACCCAAATATTATGAACAATATACTCTAGTACTATAAGAATAATGATATTAAAAATTGAACAAATTAAACAATACCTGATTTGAGATAAACTTGATTTCCGATGGAGATGTTTTGCAGCCAACGTGCAGAGCAGAATGAACCGATCTCGCATTCTAGTTCAACTAAATACCGCGAACTCCTATCCGTTTTCCAGCGCATTACAATCATGTGATTACGAAATTCCTGGGAAAATCCCAGTAGGTTTCTATCTATTTATATAGTTCAAGTGCAGGAAGCAATAAAATCTTTATTGGTATGCCAATAATTCCTTTGTTTATATTTGATATGACAAAGAATGTTCAGGTTGCAGTCTCCTCTCTACCGCAATCAACTGTCAGAACAGGGGCGCCGGAAGCAACATGAAGCGGCGGGGGCAGCCATTTCAAAAGGGCACTTGCTTCTCAGCCATCATTTTCCTGGGCAGCAATATTTGTTAAAACTTTACTGTATGGATACTCGATTACTTCTGGCTATTATGGATCGCAAACTTCGAAATGTTGATCAATTTTTAGCTATTCGTTACACAGTGCTAAAGGCGCAAAACAAAATCAGTAAACGGACGTATATTGCTTGATTTAGCATTAATATTACTACAATTGGTTAAAAATTAAGCAAAGATTTCTTAAAGATGCTGTACAGTCCGATCTGTGTATGTGAACAAAGGAGCCCTCTTTTTATTATACAAATAGTTTATTTACTGGTTTTTATTTCATTTTTTGTTCTTGCAAAGCTTGATTGTTGTGTCTTGATAGAATCATGAAAATAAAAATAGTTGTGGAATAAAATTCTATATTTTGGATACCGAAATGTAAACAAATCCTTTGTTTGCATACGGACTGTACCGCATATTTATAAAACATTGCTTAAAAGAATTTCCCGCGGAATCTTCTCTTGCACTCACTGCATTCTTTCATGATATATATATATATATATATATATATATATATATATATATATATATATATAT